AACAAACAAACTTTATTGAATTGTATATGAATGTAGCACTGCCTAATACTAACTATATAACCTTGGACTTAATTTCCTCAAATTTTAATTTGTTCACCTGTAAAACAATACTTTCTGACATTTATTGAACACTTCTTTGTGCCTGGCATATTTGACCAATGGAATATAAGTCCATAGGAACCTGCCAAGTCTGAGTGGAATCATTAAATGTGCTGCTTGGAAATCACATTTTTCTTACTCTTGATGCTTGCCGCAACTCTCCTGTGGTGAAAAGAACTGACTATGATGATGAGAATAATAGTGATATGGTGATGATAATGGTAGATAACATGTTTGACAGGCACTGTTATATGTTCTATATATTTACCTTTTAAAAACAATCCCCTGATTTGTTCTTTACACCAGAAGTGTGCTAACTCAAAAATATGTCCTAGAAGGGTTTGAGGATATAGAAGAGTGTGTACACACTTCTGCCCTCCAGAAAAGGCCACGAAGAAGGTAATGGGGCAATGTCTTACTTCAAGTATACACTGACTTTTAAACATATGACTTATTAAATTTAAAAAAAAAAAAGCAGCTTTAGACAACAAATAAGACTACAATGAACTGGCAGCCAGTGGGGCTGACGATGAACGCAGTGCGTCGGCATTGGGTTGACCAATGAGCACTACGCTCTTCTGACTACTGCTAATGTCTATCTCTGCCACTGGTGTAGACAACTTGACAGATGCCTAGAGGAACAACTCCCTGTGGGCTCATTTATAAAATGAGGATGGTGCTGGCACCTATTTCAATAAGCTGCAGAGTACTGCGTGAAAGCCCCGTAAGTAGTGCCGGTGTGCTGTTGTTACAACTCAGCAGGTGGGGACAGTCTTCTCCTTCAGGAAGTTAGGGACTGTATCTTCTTCAGGAAAAAAATGACATTTGCTGACAGAATATTAAATACAGGATCCCGTGTGTGATACTTTCACATATATTACTTCGCTTTCTTCTTCCCAGCCATTCTGTGAGGTGAGTCTTGCTGTTCTCATTTTATAAAACAATTGCTAAAGAGAATGAGTTCTTGATGAGTCTCACATGGCAAATGAGAGCACTTAGCTCTCTTGATTCTCCTCAGTGATTTCTCAACTCCCCTGGATTTCTCTTTGTATCCTTGCCCAGCCCCATCTCCACGCCCTCTTCTGTCTAAATACCATCATAAGCTCTCGCTCATCTGGTTAACAGGCCTGGGCTTCTCTTAGCCCTGGGATGAGGGATACCTGCACAGATTAGGAAATGAGGCTGAAACTGTAGGAAGGAATTGACCATAACAACCCAGGAGCTTTCTAGAGCTCCCATGGCAAAGGAGGGCCACTTATAGCACTTTCTGAATGCATGCTAAGGCACTTGATATTTTTGACACTGTTTTAAGTAATACCTTTTCGTAAAATTTACATTTTGTATGTTCTGTAATGGGTACATAAAAATTCAATTGATTTTTCTTAATTGATGTTGTGTCCATAAATATATGTAAGGTTTTTAATTAATGTCATATACTTGGGGGTGTTGTCTTTGTACTCTTATATATGGGACTAATGATACTTTTGTTTCCTTTCTATTCCTTGTACTTTTCTTTCTTTTATTTTCATTATTACTAGGCTAGGACCTCTAATCAGTGCTGATTAGAAGTGGTAAAAGATATCCTGATCTTATTTCTGATTTTAAGGAGAATGCTTCCAACACTTCTCCATTTAAGTGTGATGCTGACTGTATAGTTTTTGTTTTTGTGTTAATCAGGCAGTTCCTTTCTTTTGATCAAAAATTTTTAAATGAAAAGATACTGAATTTTACTGAATGCATTTCCTCCATCTATTAAGACAATCACATTTTTCTTCTTTAAGCTCTTAAGTTATAAATCATATTAATCTTGTATTAAGCCAACCATGCATTCCTATATTATATCATCAAAGTAACTTTCAAGTCTTTAAAGATTATTTATCATAATGAATCTTGGAATTCATCAAATTCCCTTTACATAACTGGACATATCAATCAACTACACTAAGATATTTACAATTTTTTTAAAAGATTTTATTTATTTATTTGACAGAGAGAGAGCACAAGCAGGGGGAGTGGCAGGCAGAGGGAGAAGGAAAAGCCGGCTCCTCGCTGAGCAGGGAGCCTGATGTGGGACTCGATCCTAGGACCCTGGGATCATGACCCAAGCTGAAGGCAGACACTTAACTGACTGAGCCACCCAAGGGCCCCAGTATTTACAATTATTAAACCATCCTTACATGCATAACATCAACTGTGCTTGGTTGTAATAAGCAATTCCTCTTAATCTTACTCAGTTTGGTTAGCTGCTGTTTTCTTTAGCATTTTTACATTCATATTCATTTTTGTCCTCTGTCAAGCTTTTGTATCAAGATGTTAGTTTCATAAAATAAACATGGAAGCTATACATCTTTATAAATGAGGTTCAGAAAATTTATATTGCATGAGAATTATCCATTCTTTGAAAATTTCAAAGGACTCACAGGCCCTTAGAGGTTGGTACTTTTTTTGAGAACTTGTTTAATTTATCCCATTGGTTTTGGTCTATTCTGGTATGTGACTGCTGAATGAATTTGGACAATATATATTTTAATATAACATTATCTATTACAAAGTCTTTCAAATTTATTAGTAGACCTATGTACACTCTTGTACTTTTAAAATAACATTGTATCTGATATTATAGCCTTCTTGTTCCGAATTTTATTTCTGTTATTTAGTAGAAAGAGCCTTAGTATTTAGGTTAGACAGACTCAACACTAAGGCAGACAAGTCAATTCATTTGCTAGATCTCAGCTTAATCACAACTGCCTCTGTGAAACCTTGCATCACTCCTGGGAGAGGTTTCTGTGGATTTCTGTACTTCCTCTATCAAAACATTTGTTTCACAGTATAATTATTGTTTGTTTAATGGGCAGCTTCAAAGTTAAACTGTAAGCTCTATGAGAGTAATGACAAGGTATGTCTAGTTTACCACCACGCACCTAGCACAGTGTCTGAAACAGAATGAACACTCAGTAAATCTTTGTTTGAACGAACAAGTTAATTGTTTCCATGTTTTACTCTGCCTGTCTCTTCCATAAGACCACAAGTTTTAATTGACTTTTATAGCTACCAATACCAAAAGAGCAGAAGAGTGATTAAAAATACCAGCTCTGGAGCTAGAATGCAGGGTTCAAAGCTAGGCTCTGCCATTCACTGGCTGTGTGACTATGAACAAATTACTTCACTTCTCTATACTTCAGTTGCCTCTCTGTAAAACTAGAAATAATAATGCTGGACTGTAGGGAGTTTATATATGCCTGGTACACAGTAAGTGATGAATTAATGATAGCTATTATTATGTTAGTACATGACAAGTAAATGAATGGATAAAAGAATAATGAACCTGTGAAAACAGAGAAAATAATGATAATATTTGCTCTGCTCTGGGTGTTCTGAGGATCAAGTGACAGGAATTTTAAGTAATGAAAACCATTTGAGTATTTTATTAGAACCACTACAAATGGGAAGTCCCAGTGGCCACAAGAAAGAGAACTGTTTTTTCTTTGGAAAAAAATGACAAGGCTAGAGAAATATTTAATAAGGTTTTGTTCCTATTTGGAGCAAAAATTGGAATATTTTTCTTAAATTGGATTTTTTCTTTTATATTGTAGTCTGTACAATACAACTAGGTTATTTCAAAGTTTAATTTAATGTTTTTATAACTATGAAATACCTGAATAAAAATTTTTCTTCAGACTTGATAGCTCTTTTGGAAATAATTTCTGATTTTCCAAATATGTTTTTCCCCCCTAGATCTTTTTATCCATTACTTACTTTTCATAGTTCATACGCTATTCAAATAATGCCTCTTCATTTGTTTTTCTCCTGGACAAAGAATTTTTAAAAATGCTATCCCTATAGTCATTCTCAAAGGTTGCCATGTGTAAATATTAGCCCTAGAGTATTAGACTTCACTGATGTAATAATGATTGAATATTTTTTCCTACATACAACTGAGTCATGACATAGAAGTGCAAGAAACCAATAAGGAAATTCTCTTCCTAATGTGGGCCAAAATCTCATATTAAGAGAGCTAAGAAAAAAGTAGCAAAAATATTTACAGTTATGCAAATATACCAAAAACTGGTGTGCTGTTGTTGATTGTCCAAGCCTAAGAACAGAAAAACAGCAAATTATTTGACTCATTTTACTCTTTTCAGAAGAAAATAAATAAAAAATGGGAATACAGACAAATAATCCTTTTCTTTAAAAATTTTATGACATTTCTAAAATAAACAATATTCTAATTTTTATATATTATTTAAAAGTACAGCATGCCATTCTCTAATTTCCTCATTTGAAAAGAAGAAGCTTACGAATGAACTGATTTGGAAATTGAAGACCATTACATTTAATTTTTTAGAGGAAAGCACAACATTTATAAAGAAACATCCATATTTTAAAACATTTAAAATACTGACTTAATATCCAGTTGCAACAATAGGCATAAATAACGTAACATCAGTTTTTGATCCCAAATATAAATGAAGTGAGCCAAAGATCAAACTATGCATAGACTCAAAGTCACCTTTGCCATTTAGTTTTCAAGTAGTAGATGTGTTCTGTATCTCAAAAGAGAAGCCTGTGTAATTAACCTTCAGGAGAACATTAAAAACACAAAGAAGAAACTTAAAATTTTCAAAATTTTCCCCCTGCTTTTGTTCCTGCTCTCGCTCTCTCTCTGTGAAAATAAATAAAATCTTAAAAAAAACTCATATTACACACAGAATAGTCTCAAAATAACAATATTAATACTACCACCACATGAGTACTAAAAACACTTAAAAATTTTTTTTTGCATATGTTCTCCCCAATTCTCCATCCCTTCCTACATTTTTAACCATTATGTACTATACTCTCATTCTCTTAGCCTTCATTTGGTTTTAGTCCTACTAAGAACTACATATTCAATGCTCACAAGTTCTTCTGTTGATGTCTCTCTGGTCATTAGGTTACCCGAAGCTCAATCTCTAGCAGATTCTTCAGAAAGAGTTGAAGATTACTGGTGCTTTTTTCATTTGAAAGTCAGTTTCACTGGATACAAAATGTTTGGCTCATGTCTTCTTTCCTTGAGAATCTAAAGGAAAGAAATGAGAAAATCTTATTTTCTTTGAACAGAAAGAGTTGCTCTTGAAAAGTTTGATGATTATCTAATTATAATCTCCGAAAGATTACATGCTTTTTCCCCCTAGTCAAAGAATATTTTTTCTCTTAAACCCAATAATTGTACTAGAACATCTTTGTGTTCATCATTCTGGATTGATATTCTTAAGTGTATGGTGAGCTCTTTCAACATGTAACTTCAAATCCTTTTTATTTCAGAAAAGTTTTCTGAATTACAGTTATTTAGAATTTCTTCTGATCCCTTCATTTAGTTTTCTTCCTTTGTGGGATTTTTTTAAAAAAATATCTTTTAAGAAATTCTATTTTCAAGTCATAAAAACATTCCAAAAGTTTTCAAGCTTTGACTTTCACTCTTAAGCTCTTAATACAGCTGGAACTGAGTTTTGTGTATAGTATGATGTGTGTATACAATTCTTTTCATGAAAACATAGGAGAGAAATTTGTTACTTGTACTTCTGAGCAATTTTGTCCTTTATCTCATGGAATTATGAATTAGTCTGATTCATATCTGGTGTCTGACTCAGGTAAGAGGAACGTAAAGTGTAGCAATGCCTATGTTCACTTAAGGCAACAGAGCCAGAGAGAAAGAGCCATGTTAGGAACTCACTGTACTTCTATGTACAGCTTAGCCAAGGAAGGGCAAGTGCTTTGTGTGGACCAGATGCACACCTTCCAGATGAAGAAACCAGCGAAGAAGTCTCTTAGGAAGGACTACATTGCCAAGAGATATACTTAAGGGAAAGAACTATTTCTTTTGAGAAGCCAAAAGAATCTGAGTGAGGGGAACTCCTCAGATGCCCATGGCTAAGTGTTGGTTGAAGTCTTAAGTGGTCAGTTGGGGAACAAGGCCCATCTTAGAGTGCTGTAGTTGGATATTCCAGGCAGAGGAATTTAGAGAGCCTGCTTTAAATAGCAGTCAAGCCCCAAGAATATCAATTCCAGATTATTACACTACTGGCCATGTAAACCTGGATCTTTTCCCCCAATCCTTTCAACACTGTCCAGCTCTAGAGGAAAGCTCTACATACATGCTAGGCCCTTAACAAATGATGGCTCTCATTATCAGTGCCCTTCTTTGCTATCACAGTCTGAGATATATCTTACTTGATCATAAGGTATTTCCCATTGGATGAGTGTCTCCAATTATTCTCCTAAGTTCCTAGAAAATAAGGACATATTTTATACTTACTTCATATTCATCAGAATATTAGAAAGAACTTTGTACTTAGAATTTTTCAATAATTAGTTACTGATCAATAAGTAAGTGGAGTTAATACATTACAACAGGAATGCCTTGGGCCGGGCAAGAAAAGCCATCAGCAGTCCTGAAATAGTACCTTTTATTAACCTAGTCAGCTTTTTACTAAATTTTCTAGTCAGGTTTCTCATTATCAATACAATGTCACTCTGTTTTACATCTTGGAGTCTCCTACCATAAAAGATCAGGCCTTTTATGTTATTTGGGGGTATCAGAATATCTTCTTTGGAATGGTACTCAAGCTCAGTGAGAGCCAAATGACTTCACTGGCTGATGTGCTGTTGTGTGTAAAGTTCTCTAAGCTATGTAAGAGTGTTCTGAACAAAACAAGGAAAATAGTTGAAGAAGACAGAGGAGAAGGGCGTGTTTTCCTTTGGATTTAAACATAATTCCTAAGGTAGACTTTTGAATTCAACATTTTTAAAAGGTCTTTTGCTTTTTAATCATTTAATTTAATCATGTAATCCTTGTTTTAAAGATGTTTGAAACCATATGCTTGATTTTTTTCATGCCTCTATTTTGGGATCATGTATACTGCTATGTAGGCAGAAAAGAACATTTTCTTTTCTACTATATTTCTTTTATTCATACAATCCACTGTTGAAAAACTGTTAAAAATGGCTATAGAACATTTCAATGTCTTCAGATATATTTACCTTCTTCTTAATCTAATCATTAAGTGCCTTCTGTAAACACCATGAGGGTAGGGATTGTGTCCGTTTTAACATAATTTTATAAAAACTGAATTTTCTTTCATTAATCTATAAATTGTGGTTAATCTACCATCCAAACGAACACTCACCCTAAAGTTGGACAGTAGAGAAAATTAAAATGCATTGTTTTCTTGATGAAAGAAGACATCATTCTTTTCTCATCTAGTAACTTTTCCAAATTCCAGACAAAATACAAGAAACAAAAATGGGTTTTCATTATCATGTAAATCTGAATATGAGTGGCCAAAAATAAAAACCAAAGTAACAAAGGCACTAACTGGAAATTTTAGCACCAAGTCATCATGTGAACATTCATATCAAGGATTCAAAAGCAGTGTAGCATAGATAATTAAATATTTAATCATGATAATGATTACTTATAATTTAAAAGCAGTTGAGGAAGAGTCATGTGGAATTATTTTTGAACTATAACAATTTCAAATTAATACACTTAACTAAAATACATTTTGTATTTTACATTTTACCACAGAAAACCAAAGGCAATCAATTAAGGATGTAGTTGATTTTTAGTAATTTAAAAACAAAACTTCAAGAAGCAGATAATTGAGAGAAAATGTCAGTTTGCTGTTTTAATTTTAAAAATAATCCAATTGTATGAATTAAAGGGATATGACAAAGGGCTGCTCCAAAGGGAGGCAGGGCAGAGAGTTGTTATGTACTATCTCGGTTGTTATGTACTAAGGTCAACTTTATTTTGAACATAGAAAACTTATATTCTTTCTCTTATTACAAAAGCTGAAGTAAGTATGTTCCAGTTCTCAATATGACTATTTGTGTTTTGGGGATAAAGGAAATGTTGCACCCTTATTTATGGCGTCTTCTTATATCTCTACAATAACCCCATTCAGAGTAGTAAAAGGCACATTTGTTTTACTGTTCCATCTAGGCACATTATAAAAGGCAAGATGACTGCCAGAAAATCTATACTTAAACTACTGTATTGTAATAGGACTGAGCAATCCCTTATAGAACACATAGAGGTCAGATTTAACACTCCATATTGACCTCATCATGATCTGGAATAAGAGCATTTGGTGATTTTTAAGACATTAATAAAGCAGGGTTATGGGAAAGCCACTCTAGACTTGACATTTAATTTTTTGTGTGTGCATGTAAATGAATTCAATATATGACTGTTCCAAAAGAATTTCAAATAATTCAAGTTTACCCAATTATAGAATAGATATAATTAAATGTGAAACCCCAGTAATACAGTTAGAGAACTGGGAACTCAAATGTAGAAAAAAAAAAATGGTGAGGCAAGACTGAAATGGTGAATAAGATTACTAACTTGTATTGCCATTACTTCTTTGTACATGTATTTTTAAAGCAAGGAAATTAGAAAATTTAATCAGTGAAACATAATTTGGATAATTTTATAGTTGATACTGTAAGAATTTATTTTATCCATTCTAAGCTGTATTTGTTTATTCTATGGATTAGGAAAACAAAAACAAAGCACCAAATAATAAAGGAAATCGAGCTCAGAAAATAGAATATTTGATTTTGAATGGTGTTTTTTAATCACAGGAGAATCTCTTACTGGATCTGAGAATCTTATAAAATTACTCAGTTCATATTTACTGCAAAACTGTTATGCTCCCTTGATAAAGTAGAAATTAAGTAAGTAGACCTTAGAAATGCGTATGAGAGTTGACATGGTAAAACCTGAGGACAAGTGTTTGTATTCAAGGGGCTTACAACTGTATCAGAGCTAGAACAATCTGAAGAGCAGGATTAAAATGGAAAAGCCAGTGGATCGTTCTTTTTATGGACATTCAACTATAAAATAAATTGGTTTTCTCCTTTAAAGAAAGAAGAAAGCCCTCTGCCAGCACACTGAACAGAACTTCCCATGATGTTTGATAACAGCCTAGCTATCCTCCAGTCTTTGGATGAGTCAGGCTAATTATTAATACACTAAAGCCAAGCTCATGTTCCATTGTGTCATATAGTTTTCTAAGCAAAACTGCCTCACGATAGTGTACTATTGGTTAGTAATAAAATTCCCTTGGAAATTTTTCATATTAGAGCTGCTTTATATTAAATTTTATTCTAAGTTAAACTCTATCAAATTTTATTTTAGGTAACAAAAACTATTTCAGGATTCATTAAATAGCAGCAAGAGAACAAAATCACAAAGTGTTATACTTGAACACTATGGGTGATGAAACTGTTTTGGAACAGTTCTGACCATGGCTTTTAATAAAATGGACAAGCTATGTTTACAGACCTGTGAGGCAAGTTGTTTCATAGTTTTTGCATCCTAGTGTACTAGTGCAGTGTTCAGTATTTAACAGAGGATCAATGTTTACCGAATAAAGCAAAGTATGTGATGAACAGAAATCTCAAAATATTGTGGGTTCTGAAACAGTGCTGCCATGTGGACAAATTCCTGAAATCTATATAAATAATTTTATACACAATAATAGAACCTATCATGTATCAGACACTTCGTAAATAGTACCTTTTTTTAAACCCAACAATCACCCTGGAAAGTAGACATATTGTTTTTTAAATTAGGGAACTGAGGCTGACAAAACTTAAATAACTTAATCCTCCACCAAGAAGTGGGGAATCTGGGACTAAGTCCTGCCCATTCTGACCTTTCTATAGCACACCCATGAGCTGGTGGGCAATGTTTTATATAATTATCGCTTGAGATTACAGTAAGAAATCAAATCCATTTTCTGTTTAGGGAGCATATATCTCTTTACTGATATCTATAGAAATAAAGGGCTGCATTTCTTCCTGCCTGATTGGAACATATACTCGTATTGTGAGAATATGTTCTTATGTATTCTTTCTGTAATTCTATAAATTCTATAAATTCAGTTTTATAGGTACAGCGAGTTGTGCTTGGTGTGCATGAAAACAAAACTATATTGGGACCCTCGATAGAAGGAGTAGAGGTCAGAAGACATAGGTAGGCATACTCTAAAGAGAACTAAGGGTATTTCCTATGAACCCATCTGTGGCAAGGGGGTATCACTTCCAGGAGGCCCTAGAGACACCTCCAGAAGCAAGACAGAAAGCCATTGGTGTGTCTTCTGGATTGTTTCTGGTGTTTGGGGACAAGAAATGGTAACCCTGATACAGGAAAAATCATTGAGTCTTTTTTTATTTTATTTATTTAAGAGAGAGAGAGAGAGAGAGCACAAGCAGGAGGAGCAGCAGGGAGAGGAAGAGGGAGAAGCAGGCTCCCCGCTGAGCAGGGAGCCAGATGCAGGGCTCCATCATGACCTGAGCCAAAGGCTTAACCAACTGAGCCACCCAGGCGCCCTGAATCATTGAGACTTCTTCAGAGGGTCTTCCACTTCTGCCAATGATGTACTTCTTTTCTCTTCTTTCTTCCTTTTTTTTTTTTTTTTTTTAAATCAGGCCTATCCTTTTAACGAGGAACTAGAAAAGCTGGTTAGAAATACAAAAAGGATCTTTTTGATGTCATCTTGAGAGGATAGATCCTGGAGAGAAGGTACAGAGAAGTCTGCCCATTTTCAACTGTTTTTCCCTTTGACTTATTTGCCAATTTGGAAGCTGTTCCTGAAGCTGGAAAGTCACTTAGAACGTGGCAGCTAAGAAGTAGAGAAGCCAAGAATAGCTTTTGGGAGTCCCATGGTTCTGAGAAAATAAAAACTGGAGTTCAAGGACAACCAACAAGGAATGGCCTTCGAAAATACCTCAGGGGGCGCCTGGGTGCCTCAGTCAGTTTAGCGTCTGCCTTTGGCTCAGGTCATGACCCCATGGTCCTGATATTGAGCCCCGCATTGGGCTCCCTGCTCAGCAGGGAGTCTGCTTCTCCCTCTGCCTCTCCCCACCCCTGGCTTGTACTCTTTCTCTATCTCATTTATTCTCTTTGTCTCAAATAAGTAAAGAAAATCTTAAAAAAATATCAAAAAAAAAAAAAAAGAAAATACCTCAGGCTTTTGGTTGAGACACAGAAAAGGGCCATCATAGGAATAAGAAGGGACCTGAAATAGACCAGACCTAACAGACTGAAAACCATACAGATTAAGATACTCTACCCCTGGCCTACCTTCTTGACAGAAGCAAAAGTAAAATTTTTTATGGAAGTAAAAAACATTGCTCAGAGTCTAATTTTTTTCATAAACAAAGACAGCATTCCATTAAGAATTCCTGGGCACATCAGGAACAGGAATAAGAAAA